GAGCCTATTCAATTTTTTTTAATGGAGACTGTCAGGGTGGTCTCAAACTCTTGAGCTCAAGCAGTCCACCTGCCTTGGCCTTCCAGAATGCTAGCATTACAACCATGAACTCTATACTAATCTCCTTTGCCTGTTCAAACCTAACTCTCAAAAGTGAGCTGCTTCAGATCTTGATTCTAAGAGTCTAGGTTCTCTGCTCTTTGAACCCTAAACATTTTCCACTGATCCTGTCAATTTTCATACTAAATTATCACTACTTTCTCTAATCTAGGCCTTTCTTCTGAGCATCAGACTTATGCATTCATTTATCAAGTGTTTATTTAGTGCTTTGATAATTACTGACAATACAGTGGAGTCCATATGTGGAGTAATCATTCTCTTTTTGGATACAAATGAAAGACCAGCAAACTGGGTGGTGCCTGTGGCTCAGTGAGTAGGGTGCCAGCCCTATGTACCAAGAGTGGCGGGTTCAAACCCGGTCCTGGCCAAACTGCAACAAAAAAAAATAGCCCGACGTTGTGGCAGGCGCCTATAGTCCCTGCTACTCCAAAGGCTGAGGCAAGAGAATCACCTATGCCCAGGAGTTGGAGGTTGCTGTGAGGTGTGATGCCACAGCACTCTACCGAGGGCAATAAAGTAAAACTCTGTCTCTTAAAAAAAAAAGGCCAGTAAACAAGCATCCAAATACATAATTACAAGCAGAGAAAAAAAGCAGTGAAGGAAAGGAATGGGATGCTATGATAGAAAATAGTTAGGTGGTGCTGGGAAAGATCTCTGAGATTTAAAAGATGAGAAGAATTCAGCCAGAAGTGTTCCAGGAAGGGCGACAGCAGGACAGAATGTAGTTGGATGTCTTTATCGTAGTACTTGAAGTATCTTACCTTGGACATTTTGACCTTTTCCTTTGGCTGGATTATAAGGCCTAAGAGGAGGGATCTTGACTGTTAGGATGTTTTTATATATTCTTATCTATACTGTATTTATATATTCTCAGTAAACCTTTGAAGAGGATGGAAAATTTGTGATCAGAAGGGAATGTGGATTTGAACAGAGGGGTGTATAAATACAATTTATCAAGTTATCCAAAAGGATTTGGTGATAACATTTAAAGAAATTTGAAAGGGTTTCAATAAGATGCTGAAAGAAAAGTGTTCCAAATAGAAGTCCAAAGCTAAATTAGTGTGCTAGCTTTATCATGTAGTTTTTAGTCTATTCAGAACTATTAATTATAAATTCTATATATAGTGGAGTGCAGGGGTGTGATCATAGCTCACCTTGATCTCCTGGGCTCAAGTGATCCTTCCACTTCAGCCTCCCAAAAAACTGAGACTACAGGTGTATGCCACCATACTCAACTAATTTTTAAATTTTTTTGTAGAAATGGGTCTTGCTGTGTTGCTCAGTTTGATTTGGAACTCCTGGCTTCAAGTGGTCTTCCTGCCTTGGCCTCCCAAAGTGCTAGAATTTCAGGTGTGAGCCTCTGCACCCAGCCTTGATCTGTTTTAAATCTTTATTTATTTATTTATTTATTTATTTTTCACTTATTTTAATAATTGGGGGAAAGATATAACATTTATACAGACCCTGTATTGCATATATCACACTAATTGCATGGAAAACTATAGGAGACATTATTTACTCATTTATGCATAAACCTATTCATTCATTTAAAGAATATTGAGAGTGTGCTGTGTGCTAGGTACTTTTTAACATTTTGAATAGAATGGTAAAAAGATACTGTTTCCATCATCCTGGAGTTCAAAGTAGTGTGCATGGATAAATAGAAAAGCAATTACAGTCCAGTGTGTTATGTGCCAAGATCAGAGAAGTATAGGTGCTTTCTGAAACACAGGGAAAGGGCATTCAATGTAGTTTAAGAGCAATAGCAAAGGCTCAGTGCCTGTAGCACAGTGGTCATGGCGCCAGCCACATACACTGAAGGTGGTGGGTTCAAACCCGACCTGGGCCAGCTAAACAACTGCAACAAAAAAATAGCTGGGCATTGTGGCAGATGTCTATAGTCCCAGCTACTTGGGAGGCTGAATCAAGAGACTCACTTAAGCCCAAGAGTTTGAGGTTGCTGTGAGCCGTGACTCTAAAGCCTTCTACTGAGGGCGACATAGTAAGACTGTCTCAAAAAAAAAAAAAAAAAAGTATCAGCAAAGTCAGAATGACATTTTAGAATTGAAAGGATAGTAGAAGAGAGATTTTGAATGTTCTTAGAATAAAGAAAAGGTAAATATTTAGGGTGATGGCTATCCCAATTACCCTGATTTGGTTATGTGAATGTGTCAGACTATCACTTATACCCTGAAAATATGTACATCTGATATTTATCAATAAAAATAAATGGATTTTTAAGAAGACTTTGAAGAAGAGGAGTTGAAAGGATAGGAGTTGGTTAGGGAAATCTGGAAGGGGCCAGCTGGGACAAAAAGGAAATAATCCAAACTAAAAAACAGCACCACAGAAAGAACATTGTACTTTCACAGATGGGAACAACATTATCTATGGCTGGAAGGCAAAATTGAAGGATTACGAAGGTAAAAGATGAGTCTGAGTCCCGTCAATAAGGCCTTTTATGGACCACTCAAGGAATTTATATCTAGAGGACTATGGGGAATCTTTGAAAGGTTTTTTTTTTGTTGTTGTTAAAGTTCAAAATATTAAAGGGGTACAAATGTTTTTGTTACATGGATAGCTTTTATATTGTTTTAGTCAGGGCTACAGCAGCGTGTACAAGTGTGTCCATCATTTAAGTCAGGCGTCCTCAAACTACAGCCCATGGACCACACGTGGGCTGCCAAGGATATTTATCAGGCCCGCCGAATGTTTATGCCGCCACTGCCTGTCCAGCTTAGCAGCCAACTTGTCTCCGGGCTCGCAGTCCAGCCCTCCAGCAGTCTGAGGGACAGTGAACTGGCCCCCTGTTTAAAAAGTTTGAGGACCCCTGATGTAAGTAGTTGTTCATTGTACCTGTTAGGTAGGTTTTTACCCTCCTCTTTCTCTTCTTCCCCCTTCCTGATTTCTAACGATTTTTACTTCTTTCTGTGCCCAGGTGTGTCTTTCGGTTCTGAATTACAAAGTACATGTGGCGTTTGTTTTCCATTGTTGAGGTACTTCACTTAAGATAATAGTTTCTAGTTCCATCCAAATTGCTGCAAAAGACCTTAATTCATTCCTTTTTATAGCCAAGTAATACTCCGTGGTATACATATACCACATTTTATTAATCCATTCATGAATTGATGTGCACTTGGGTTGATTCCACATCTTTGCAACTGTGAATTGTGCTGCAATAAACATTTGAATATAGGTGTCTTTCTGATACAATGACTTCTTTTCCTTTGGGTAGATGCCT